CCACTCCGCGTAAGACATGCGGTGTAGGAAAGGGACACCCAGAGCTCCACCCACCTCTTTGTACACCTCTACATTGAAAGGGCACTGAAGTAAGAAGTGGTCCATAGTTTCCACTTCCCCCTGACACTCCGACCTCGGGACAACCACGGTCATCCAGAGGATGGTACTTCAAGTTCCCTCTCACGTAGAGCCTGCCATGGAAAGCGAGCTAGGCCTGGTCCCTAAATTTCAAGGGAATCCGTTCCAGATTAATCAACCGTAAGCCTTCTCTCATAATATGGCCCGGGCAATCCTTCAGGCCAAGCGGGGCATGAAAGAGACGGTTGCCACAATCCTCTCACCCAGGAGCCTCCTAAGGAGGGATCTGACCTCCCCCCCGTCACATGCCACCGCCTGAGTAACTTCAGGCTCGGGCAACATAAGCCGGGAGCTCACCATGCTTGACCCGCAGGCTTTTTTACTGGCCCGACACTCTCCCAATGGTCCAGAAAGGGTCTAAACTAAATCCAAAAAAGTCCCACCCACGCAGGCGGTCTCTCTGCCAGCATATTACCAAAATTATGTTTAATAAACATCAGAGAGAAAAAAAAACAATTGGGTTGACCATTCCTAGGCCACCCTCCCGCCTGGATGAGTAGGTCACATCCCCGCTTGACAAGGTTCAGCCGATTCCCCCATAACATCTGGAAGAAACAGCTGTAGACCCTTGTATAGAGCGATTCTGGCAAGAGGCAGACGAAGCTGACATACAGAAAAATGGGGATCAGGAAAGTCTTGATCATGTCAACCCTTTCCCTCAAGGAGTGCCGCCACCCCTTCCAATATCTCACTTTACCCTCAGCATCAGACAGCCTAGCCTCCCAATTTTAAATTGCTGTACTCAGCAGGGCCGAAATTGATGCCTAAAACTTTTATTTTCTGCTAAGGCACTGGGAAGGTGTCTGGAAGTGAAAAGCTCTCACCATCCCTACCCATCCAGAAAACTTCACATTTGTCCTGGTTGAACTTGGAACCCGACGCCTCGAAATACTGATCCATCACTGCGACCACCTCCTGCGCCTCTTTGGTCCCAGAAATGAAAACAGAAGCATCATCGGCGTAGGCCACGACCTTCGGGGGGTCCCCAGTAATACCCACTGGCACCCCACCCCAACACCCCACCATCTAACCTCCTAATGAAGGAGTCAATGGCGAAGGCGTAGAGCAAAGGGCTCAGCAGGCACCCCTGCGCACCCTGGACAAAACCCCAAAAGGCCGCTCAATCCACCCATTCACCAACATGAAGCTCTCAGCCTCACTATGCAACATTTTAAGCCAGCCAAAAAACCTCCCCTCTAGGCCGTACCGGTCCAGGAGATGCCAAAGGTACTTGTGATCAACTCGATCAAAGGCCTTTGCCTGATCCACCGCCAGCAGGAACTTTCCCAGCCTTCAGCCTTACATCGTTCCAGAGCCTTCCGGACAGCTAACACCGCTGTAAAGGTACTTCTGCCCTGGACACCGAGCAATGCTGCTGGCGAGAAAGTAAGCCGCCCGCCACTGACGACAAGCGCCAGAACAAGATCTTAGCCAGAATCTTTCTATCGACATTGAGAAGGCTAATGGGGCGCCAGTTCTCAATAGCCGAAGGATCTTTACCCTTTGACAAGAGAATTACAGCAGACTGCCTCATGGAAGGAGGGAGCAACCCCTCATCCAGGAGACAGCAATTGTAAACTTCCGCAAGGTGGGGTGCCAAGCTGGACTTAAAAGCTTTAAAAAATTCAGCTGTCAGACAGTCTGGCCCAGGAGTCTTCTTAATGGCCAAACTATCGTAGGCTTTGGTCACCTCTTCTGCTGTAATTTCCCCGTCAAACTTGCAGGCAGAACATTACCCTCCAGACCTGGTGTAGAGTCCAAAAAGTCCAAAAAGTTCAACATCCTTGTCCGGTCGAGGTGCTTCTCGCTCAGTAAATCCTCATAAAAGGACCTAGAGACCTCCAGAATCCCCGACCTGGATCTTGTCAAGGACCCCGTACCTCAAACCAGAGACCGTCTTAATCGCTGCGCTCTGCTTACAATTCTGGAAAGGGTCAGGCGAGTGGTACTTCCCATAATCCCTCTCCAGAACCAAAGAGGCACGCCGGTCATACTGGTATTTCATGAGAAGAAGCTTGACCTCAGAGATTGCCACAGAATCCCCACCTCTAGAAATAAGGCGGTCGAGCTTCCTCCGCAACCGTTGGTAGGCAATGTACCTATCAAGCTGTTTTCTTTTTCCTAGGGCCCTGAAAAACCTGCCTATCCGCACCTTGGTGAGCTCCCACCACTCCGACTTACTGTTGCAGAAATCCAGTACGGTTTCCTGAGCCTGAAAAAATTCCTCAAAGGATCGTCTTACTTCCCTCGTCCTCCAGCAGAGCGGAATTCATTCTCCAGATGCCCTTCCCTCTCAGTGGCGTATCTGAAACATTTAAAAGTCACAGTAAGTAAAAGGTGATCAGAAAACTCCAAAGCTCGACATTCAGAGTCCTCCTTCAAAAAAAAAACCCTATCTATTCTACTCTGACAACTGCCTCTCCTATACGTGAAACCAGTGCTGTCCGGGTTGCTCTTAACCAAGGCATCCACCAGACCTGCTTCCCTAACTATCACATTTAAGAAAACGCTGTCATATCCCAGCCTGTCATTGGAGCCTTTCCTGTCCTTGGGCCTAGTCACGGTGTTGAAGTCACCTCCAAAGACAACCTGCCGGGATGTAAAAAGAAAAGGCTTGATCCTTGTAAAGAGGCATTTCCTGTCCCATTTGGACTGCGGTCCATAAATGTTAATTAGTCGCAGTTCCTGCCCCCCTCACAAGGACATCCAGGATCAAACACCTTCCAATCTCCACCTCAATGACCCGCCGGCACGTTACCATGCCGGTAAAAAGAACCTCAACTCCGCTGTAAGGCTCAGCCGCAAGAGACCAGAAGGAAGGACCACGCCTCCACTCCCTCTTAGCCAGATGGACTGCATAACCTGGTCTCTTGCAAAAACAAAACATCAACATCAATCCTGCTGAGCAAAAATAAGGCTGTATCTCTAGCACTTACAGATTTAATGCTGGTGACATTAATGGTCGCCACCTTTAACGGAGTGGGAACTGCCATTTGGGTCATTGGCGTTTCTTACTTTTTCCTTTTCCCCTTTCCCTGCAAAGGCCACCACTTCCTCAGGTGACTCCCTCCCACCTTCCTCCATCGAGGATAAGGAGCTTACTGACCCCCCCCCTTCATCCTCTGACAGAGTCCCAAACCGATTTGAAGTAAAAAGCTCCCCCACATCTAGAGAAGATACGGATGAAGCTGGGGAAATAACAATCTCATTTTTCTTCCCCTTCCTTACCACCTTCGTCCACTCCGCTTCCTTCTCACCACAGTACTAACACTGGGGTTCCCTACCCCCCGACTAGTACCTTCACCCTCTACACTCTCTCTCCCCCGCCTTAACATGATTCTTCCGGCAACGCTGGGACAATAACACCGGAGGGGGAACCACACTAGGCCCAGGCAAACCTGCCCCTCTAGCCGCCTCTTTAAGCTTGGAGCCTGAAGAGATGGGCCCAGCAGGAGATTTAGGCACCACTGGAGCAGGGGACAAACTGGCAGCTCCCATACTGACAGGCTCAGATCCTACAGGAGCAACAGGACACCCAGGGACTGCAGAGGAAACACTTTCCTTAGACATGACAGGACCCAAGCTTTGTTCTGCACTACTGTTAGGAATGGACTGGCCAGCAATGGTGGGACTCACCTGCCTTTTGATCTGCAGTACCAGGGCTGGCCAGCGGGTGCTCCCAGCAATCAGAGACTCAACCTTTCAGCCAGCTAACACCTGGAACTGATGATACTGGTGTATTTAAGGGATGGCCAGACTTGCAGACTCTGCCTTGGTGTTGTGTTTTGTCCTGGGCCCTGTATCTGTCCTGCATCCTGTTTCTGTTCCTTTGCTGACTTCTCCTGCTCTGATCCTGGCTTGTGACCCTGACCATCCCTCTGTCTGACCCTCTGTACTACGCTGCTTGCTACCTGTTCTTGATCCCTGGCTTGTGACCCGGACCATCCCTCTGCCTGACCCTCTGTACTATGCTGCTTGCTACCTGCTGAACCTGGCCTGTGACCCCGACCATTCTCCGCTTGCTCCCCCTGTACCTACCTGCCCAATTGATATTGACCCGGCCTGCCTGACGACGCTTGCTTGTATATACTGTTATCTGTGGGTGGTTTGGTTTGGTTTGTTTGCACCGTATTATGTTTTTAGTATTGCACTGCATTTATGTTTGTACTGTTAGTGTTAATAAATTATATTGTTTTATAACATATCTGAGGTCCTGCGTTTCCCTGCTTCAGTCACACACCTCTGGTCATACCTGGGAGCCCTGACATTACACCAAGGCCAATCCTGACCAGAAGTGGCTGCACAGGGAAGCCATCTTGGCTTGTTGATGGGAAGGATGGATCTTGAGAGGTTGAGTATTTATATCTGCTAGTGTTTAGTGATGACAGGGAGTATGCTTATCAAACTCTGAAGGAGTATACCCGGGATGAATTGCTAGAATGTATAACGGCTCGCTCATGTTCTAGTAGATCAGGGCACAGTGTTCTCTGAGGTGCAGCCATTGATTGAGGTTTGTGCAGAGTTGGTTTCATCTGGTTCCCCCGAATGCAGGGATGATTTTTTGCCACCATTTAGTGCAGACCAGGTAGAGGTCCCTGGTGTGGTTATTAGAGGATGATGTGGGTTACTTTCTGGAGCGTTATTCCACATGTTCACACACAGACACTGAGAGATTGTATAAACGCAGTGCAGTCATTGACCAGACAGACTTTGTGTAAGCTCAGCTTTGTTCAACCCCTACTGCAAGACATGGACAGATTTTGTTGCACCCAGCCTCAGTCAGCTTACAAAGACCCAGTCCTGCTTCTAACTCTACTCCTGTATTCCCACCAGCTCCTCCAGTTACAGCCCAGTATACTTGGCTATCTACCGCATGTCAGTACCCTGTTCCCACTCGCTGCACCTATCCTGCCTTTAACCCTGTAAAAAAGCCCTCTGTAGCAACTGCTCCCTCTCCTGTCCATCCTCCAGTTCTTCCTCTGTCTCCAGCTGCTCCATTCGTTTTGCAGACCTGCGTTTACTTGCAGTGCTCCAGTAGTTAAAACCAAAAAAAAGCGAAAATTCTTTCCAACCAATACCATCCTGCCAGTATCCAAACCGGTGAGCCTGCCTTCCGTGGTTCAGACTGATGCCTGTACGCAGCCTGATGCCTCTACTCGGCCTGAAGCCTCTACTCGGCCTGAAGCCTCTACGCGGCCTGAAGCCTCTCCTCAGCCTGAAGCCTCTACGCGGCCTGAAGCCTCTACCTCGGCCTGAAGCCTCTACTCGGCCCTGATGCCTCTCTTCAGCCTGAAGCCTCTACTCGGCCTGATGCCTCTACTCGGCCTGATGCCTCTACTCGGCCTGATGCCTCTACTCGGCCTGAAGCCTCTACTCGGCCTAATGCCTCTACCCAGCATGATGAACTGATCCAGCCTGACCGATCCTATTAGGCCAGTTGACTCGATGCCCGCTGTTGATCCAATGATGATCCGGTACCTGATCCGGTGCCCGCTGTCGTGCCAATTGACTCAGAGCCCGCTGTCGTACCTGGTGACTCGGTGCCCACTGCCATTGCCAGATGACGCGGTGCCCGCTGGCAAGCCAAATGACCTGATGCCTGGTGACCTAGTGTCCGCTGTCATACCTGAATGACCCGATGCCCACTGTCGAGCCAGACAATCCGGTACCTGATGACCCGGTGCCCACTGTCCGTGCCTGTTGACTCGGAGACCACTGCCTTGCCAGATGAACGCGTGCCCGCCTGTCGAGCCAAATGACCTGATGCCTGGTGACCCGATGTCCCGCTGTCCAGTCAGACGATCCAATGTCTGACCCAGTGCCCGCGGTCATACCAGTTGACTCGGAGCCCACTGCCTTGCCAGATGACGTCGGTGCCCGCGGTCGAGCCAAATGACCTGATGCCTGTGACCCGATGCCGCTGTCCAGCCAGACGATTCAATGTCTGCCCCGGTGCCCGCGGTCATGCCAGTTGACTCGGAGCCCACTGCCTTGCCAGATGACGCGGTGCTCGCTGTCGAGCCAAATGACTTGATGCCCTGGTGACCCGATGCCCGCTGTCCGGTCAGACGATCCCAATGTCTGACCCAGTGCCCGCGGTCATACCAGTTGACTCAGAGACCACTGCCTTGCCAGATGACGCGGTTGCCCGCTGTCTGAGCCAAATGACCTGATGCCTGGTGACCCCCGATGCCCGCTGTCCAGCCAGAGACCATCCAATGTCTGACCCAGTGCCTGCGGTCATACCAGTTGACTCGGAGCCCACTGTCGTGCCTGGTGTCTCGGTGCCCGCCGCTCCGCCTGGGGGCCCGAGACCTGTTGCTGCCGCTTGGGGGTCCAGCGCCCGCCGCTCCGCCTGGGGATCCGGCGCCCGCCCGCCCCGCCTGGGGGCCTGAGACCTGTCGCTCCCGCCTGAGGGCCCGAGACCTGTCGCTCCCGCCTGGGGGTCCGGCACCTGCCACTCCTGTGCACTCCGCTTGAGGGCCCGAGACCTGTCGCTCCTCCTGGGGGTCCGGCGCCCGCCGCTCCGCCTGAGGGCCCGAGACCTGTCGCTCCACCTGGGGGGGTCGGCGCCCGCCGCTCCGCCTGAGGGCCCGGAGACCTGTCGCTCCACCTGGGGGTCCGGCGCCCGCCGCTCCGCCTGAGGGCCCGAGACCTGTCGCTCCCATCTGGGGTCCGGCGCCCGCCGCTCCGCCTGAGGGCCCGAGACCTGTCGCTCCTCCTGGGGGTCCGGCGCCCGCCGCTCCGCCTGAGGGCCCGAGACCTGCTGCTCCGCCTGGGGTCCGGCGGCCGCTCCGCCTGACCCCGAGACCTGTCGCTCCTCCTGGCGTCCGGCCCCGCCGCTCCGCCTGAGGGCCCGAGACCTGCCTCGCTCCGCCTGGGGGTCCGGCGCCCGCCGCTCCGCCTGAGGGCCCGAGACCTGTCGCTCCTCCTGGGGGTCCGGCGCCCCTGCCGCTCCCGCCTGAGAGGCCCGAGACCTGTCGCTCCTCCTGGGGGTCCGGCGCCCGCCGCTCCGCCTGAGGGCCCGAGACCTGTCGCTCCTCCTGGGGGTCCGGCGCCCGCCGCTCCGCCTGAGGGCCCGAGACCTGTCGCTCCTCCTGGGGGTCCGGCGCCCGCCGCTCCGCCTGAGGGTCCGAGACCTGTCGCTCCTTTCCTCCATCCATGGGGTCCGGTGCCCGCCGCTCCGCCTGAGGGCCCGAGACCTGCCGCTCCTCCTGGGGGTCCGGCGCCTGCCGCTCCGCCTGAGGGCCCGAGACCCCGCTCCTCCTGGGGACCGGCGCCTCCCGCTCCCGCTGGGGCCCGTGTCGCTCCACCTGGGGGTCCGGCGCCCGCCGCTCCGCCTGAGGGCCCGAGACCTGTCGCTCCTCCTGGGGGTCCGGCGCCCGCCGCTCCGCCTGAGGGCCCGAGACCTGTTTGCTCCGCCTGGGGGTCCGGCGCCCGCCGCTCCCGCCTGAGGGCCCGAGACCTGTCGCTCCACCTGGGGGTCCGGCGCCCGCCGCTCCGCCTGAGGGCCCGAGACCTGTCGCTCCATCTGGAGGTCCGGCGCCCGCCGCTCCGCCTGAGGGCCCGAGACTTGTCGCTCCGCCTGGGGGTCCGGCGCCCGCCGCTCCGCCTGGGGGCACTATGCCTGTCGCCCCGCCTGGGGGCCCGATGCCTGTCGCCCCGCCTGGGGGCACGATGCCCCGTCGCCCCGCCTGGGGGCCCGATGCCCGTCGCCCCTCCTGGGGGCCCGATGCCCGCCGCCCCGCCTGGGGGCACGATGCCCGTCGCCCCGCCTGGGGCACGATGCCCGTCGCCCCGCCTGGGGGCCCGATGCCCGTCGCCCCGCCTGGGGGCCCGATGCCCGTCGCCCCGCCCGGAGGCCCGGTGCCCATCGCCCCGCCCGGGGGGGCCCGGTGCCCGCTGCTCTCCGCCCGGGGGCCCGGTGCCCGCTGCTCCGCCCGGGGGCCCGGTGCCCGCTGCTCCGCCCGGGGGCCCGGTGCCTGCTGCTCCGCCCGGGGGCCCGGTGCCTGCTGCTCCGCCCGGGGGCCCGGTGCCTGCTGCTGCCTGCTGCTCCGCCCGGTGGCCCGCTGCCTGCTGCTTCGCCTGGTAATCCGATGTGCCTCTGCCCGGAGTCCTGCCCGATGTGCCTCTGCCCAGAGTCCTGCCCGATGTGCCTCTGCCCGGAGTCCTGCCCGATGTGCCTCTGCCCAGAGTCCTGCCCGATGTGCCTCTGCCCGTGTGCCTCTGCCCGGAGTCCTGCCCGATGTGCCTCTGCCCGGTGTGCCTCTGCCCGGTGTGCCTCTGCTCGATGTGCCTCTGCCCGGAGTCCAGCCCGGTGTGCCGCTGCCCGGAGTCCTGCCCGGTGTGCCAGTCTTTGATATCCCGCCAGTTGCCAGACCCGGGTGGTGGAACATTTTGCCCAGCTAGGACTGTTTGGAGCGTCCTGAGGCCGCTCCTTGAGGGGGGGGGTACTGTTAGGAATGGACTGGCCAGCAATGGTGGGACTCACCTGCCTTTTGATCTGCAGTACCAGGGCTGGCCAGCGGGTTCTCCCAGCAATCAGAGACTCAACCTTTCAGCCAGCTAACACCTGGAACTGATGATACTGGTGTATTTAAGGGATGGCCAGACTTGCAGACTCTGCCTTGGTGTTGTGTTTGTCCTGGGCCCTGTATCTGTCCTGCATCCTGTTTCTGTTCCTTTGCTGACTTCTCCTGCTCTGATCCTGGCTTGTGACCCTGACCATCCCTCTGTCTGACCCTCTGTACTACGCTGCTTGCTACCTGTTCTGATCCCTGGCTTGTGACCCGGACCATCCCTCTGCCTGACCCTCTGTACTATGCTGCTTGCTACCTGCTGAACCTGGCCTGTGACCCCGACCATTCTCCGCTTGCTCCCCCTGTACCTACCTGCCCAATTGATATTGACCCGGCCTGCCTGACGACGCTTGCTTGTATATACTGTTATCTGTGGGTGGTTTGGTTTGTTTGCACCGTATTATGTTTTAGTATTGCACTGCATTTATGTTTGTACTGTTAGTGTTAATAAATTATATTGTTTATAACATATCTGAGGTCTGCGTTTCCCTGCTTCAGTCACACACCTCTGGTCATACCTGGGAGCCCTGACAACTACCAGCCTTTTCCGCTTCCATCCTCACCTCCACCACCTCTGGCCTCATAGTAACTGTCCACCCCTCCTGTCCAAATCGCCCTATCATCATTAAACTTCCTAAGGGGTCCCAGGACTTCCCTATACCGTTGCAGCCAGATCATGATATCTGCTACAGGGATGGATTCATTACGCACAAGGATGGTAATGTTTTTAACCAAAGGCTGCCTAGAAATTACCTTGGGGACAAGCCCCTCCCATCTCTCCGACCCCTTCCACCTGTCATCATACTTCTGCCAGAACACATCCAACATGTCACTCCTGACAAAGGAGACATCATACTCCCCTGACCCTACAGGGGCAATGAGGGCAAATATATCACTAACTTTAAAGCCCATCTCTAGCAGGTGATCCACCACCTCTCTCCTGCCAGGAGAAGGGCCCTGTCCATGCCACTTCAACTGGACCACATTCCTCCTTTTGACTGATGAAGGGGGGACCCCTGACCTTTCCTCCCCAGGGTGACCCATCAGCAACTGAGCCCTCTTTAGGGCAGCAGTATAACTTGGGTCCTCAATACCAGGGCCAGATGCAGGGACACCAACAGCATAACTCCTGACCCCAGATCTGGCAGCCGGGCCCCCAGGGGCCGCCTTATTGCTAGGAGTCCCAGCATCAGGGCCCAACACAGGGCCACCTGCAACTACTGTAATATCCTTCCCCCGAGACATCAGAACACTAGTGGCAGTTGCCCTGCCCATAACATCAGCAACAGAACCCAGTGCAGATGTGCTGGCAACATTTACTCCATCAGCCCCCCCAAGAACCGAGCCAGGCCCAGGGACCTTCATGACAACCACAGCTCCCCCCGACTCAGCAGTAAGGAGGGAACTAAGGGAAACAGGCACAGATTTATCACATACATTTCCTGCTGAAACCACATTTACCCCCTTGTCCCCAACTGAGTCCTCTGGGCCTTTGGCCTGCAATGCCTCCACACAACCGGCACCCTGCTCTGAGCCAGGCTCCTGCTGGCTCCGCACATGAGCCAACTCTTTCTCCGGCAGTCTCTGCAACTTGACAAAGACCGCCTTTTCCACTGCTCTTGGCTTCAGAGGTTTGGAGATCCCAGTCTCTTCCTCATCAGGCTCCTCAGAACTAAACTGAAAATGTCGCCCCTGCAGCGGGGACTCCAACACTTTCACAAACTGCATCTCACCAGCCACCTCCGCAATCTCCACCTGCGACCCCCAGTCAGACGGTTGTTGCCTCGGGGGGATCAGCTCCGCGGTATCCTCTACCTTCACCACCTCACCCTTAGAGTTGCCCGCCACTCGGCTCTGCACGGTTGCTCCAGGATTCTCCAACGGGCACAGACGGTTCCTCCTCCATGCTGGTCTGCTCGTCTGCCGGATCATCCAGGGATGATGATGACAAGGCGCCTCTCGCTGCCAACACAGCCTTCCCCCTGGCCAGCTTGCTACGATCCACAGCATCACCCTTCTCACGGAGCAAGAGCTGCTGGCAGCTTTCAGGGTAGACACAATCTTGCTCTGAACCCACAGCTTTTGCTCCAGCTTTTCCAAATCAGGCTTCATGGCCACACGTTTATTACTCCACAAACGATCATATGCACTGCGGAATTTTTTAACCTCTGCTTTCAGCTTAGTTAGCTTCTCCTCTTCACGGCCGATCCGGCTCGCACATACATTCCTGCAAACTTTGTAAATTGCATAGGGCTCCCCCTTCCTCGGACTCTTTCCCACATCCCCAGATGACACACAGGGACCGGTACTCAGATCCTGCCCGGGACCACTCATCCCTCCTGGGCAGGGAGGGA